CCCAGAGCCCTGAGGTGGCTGCTGCTCCACCATCGACGCTGGGTGTGGGACGCTGGGTGTGGGGAGTCCTCCGCTGGACTCCCAGCCTGGGAATGCGCCGTGGAAAACAATGCAGTTTATTCCCATGGGAATGGGGCGGGCGGAGGGAGCCCGTCCAGGTGTTCAGAGGAGTATCCCGCCACACGCCTCCTCCCCGGGACTCGCTGGCTCCCCCTGCGGGCAGGGCAGAGGCGGGAGTGCGGGTGGAGAGGAGCTGGGCTATCTGGGCCTATTTGATGCCCCAGGGTGGCCTCCAAAGGGTCTGTGGTTGGGTGCCATGGGGCTGGCCCCTTAGCCACCTCCCCACAGAGTGGGGGGAGACGCCTTCCCTATGGGAGTCATTGCAACCCCCCGGCTGGGCCCAGAGCCGGGCCGTCGGCGGTGCCCCGACACGCTCCCCGGCGGGAGCTCCTCTGCCCACATTACCAAATCCTGGCGTGAGTCACCGATGCTTCCCAGCCTGGCGTAGATCCAGCCGGGAGGGCTGGATGTTGGAGCCGAGTTGCTCCCATCCGCCACGGCGCGGGCGTCTCTCTCTCTGCAATGCCCCAGCGTGGCACTCAGCCCCCAGTGCCCACAGCGGAGGACCCTGGGCCGAAGGGGTCACGCACACAGGTCAGATCCTACCGCAGCCGCTGGGGCTTTCAGGACACTTGGGCATCTCCCTTGTGTCTTGCTTTGATCTGTCTCCGCCTCACGGCAGCAGGCGGGGGAGGAAGCCACCTGCCCTCTGTGCCGATGGCTTACGAGGCTCCGGCGTTTAGATGCCCAAGCGCCGATGGGTGGAACAGGACCTGGCCCGTGTCGTACGCGACCTGGCGGGTTGGGGGGTTTGCAAAGGGGCTCTAAAGCACTCAACTTTAGTTGCCAGTTCCCAGTCCCAGCCCAACCGTCCATGACCCCGTTCAGTCTCCGGTGCCCAAAAGGCAGCAAGTTGGCAGCCTCGGGCCACTGCCCTGCGGGCAGCCCGGAAAGCCACCCATCTGCCTCCCAAAAGTCACTGTCTCCCAGTGCAGCAGGCACAGGCCAGGGATGAAGGCAGGAGTCTCTCTCCCGGCACCCAGCCTGGAGCCCAGGTTGGCATGTGCAGCCCCGCTCTGCCCTGTGCCCCCTGTGTGGTTTCAGCCCCCGGGGCTGTCACGCCGGTGCCGAGGTGACGGGCAGCTGAAGGACGGGTGAGGAGGGGGCTGACTGCCCGCGCCCCAGGTGCTTTCCCGACCCCGACCCCACAACTTTCCCGCACGGCGGGGAATCGCTACTTCCACATCAAGCAGATGGGGAAACTGAGGCACGTGGAAGGCCCTTGCCATGCCAACGGTTCTCCCGCCCCTTTCT